CTAGAAACAAGAAGCTAGTAGGTAGGAGGCCATCGCTACTAGGGTGGAGGCCATCGCTATTAGGTTGGAGGCCATTACTACTAGAAACAAGAAGCTACTAGTAACAAGGCAGGTATTCGTCGGTCAATGGAGTCGAACCAGCCATTCACCAATGAATGCCCACCGTGCGAGGGAATTGTTGTGGCACCCCCGACTCACATCACCTACTGTAAATACGGTCGCGTGCTCACGCCCAAATGTGTTACCCCCCGAAGTAGTTCGCAAAGACAAAGACGGATGATTGATTGTGCTTTAGTCAGGGCGTGCTTCATTTCATTCAAGAGTAGGTCATACCTACAAGAAAAAATGGGCAAGTTTCAGCACAAGGCAAACACAAATGCTCGTGCTAAAGAGACTGCTCAAGTTCTGCCCGTGTTTGATCACGGCGTGCTTTTGCTGCTAACCAGTTTTGCTATTGCTATAGAGCCTGACTATGCATGTATGCCAGGCACAGTTGTAGAACACAAAATCAACACCTTACCTGACCCATGTCACAATCAGAATGCCACCATCCCGTGCCTAAAGCGCTGCCCGCACTTCACGCAACCTGAGGTTAAAAACCCTGATCTGGGCAAGGTTTCTCGCAAATGCAAAGGAGGCAAAGGACTGGGACGGGGCACAGGAATTCGCACCCTTACCGGTAACTCCTTGATGAAAGCTCAGTTCTGCAATTTCTTTGTCATTTGCAGGCGAAACTTCTGCCTCCTCTGATCCTGTGATCCTTCCCAACGCTTTAATCTTTTGTATGATATGCAACTGAGTGAAGTAGCACTGACTGTCGATCAAACCCTTAGGTCTTTTAGCTCTGGAAGCCACAGCGACTGTCGATCAACGGTGGATGCGTCCCGCCCCGAACCGCAATGGTCCGGGTCGCGAAGGGTTCGGAGTGAATGTCCAAGCAGCTGATGGAGTGTTGGCTTTTCAGGTGTTCCTCCAGGTCGGTGACTTTCTTCCGACCTTGCAGCACCGGGATTTGTTGGTTGGGATTTGTTGGGTGGTTGGAACAGTACCTGGAGCGGCCAAAATGGCCCACTCGACACCTGCTTAAGTCGACGCACTTCAAAAAGAGGTCACTGAGAGGTCACTACTTCGAATCTTTGGGGCAAATCAGAACAACCCTGGCGAAGCCTGACACATCCTGACACATTCCCTCCCAGATCCTGGAGCAGAAGGCCCCTCACGGCATCCCAGCTCTAAGCCCCCGCGCAGTGGGGGCACAGCTCTGAGGCGCGCAAGGTCCTCTTGAGCTCCTAGGATCGACGACGAACAACGGGTCATCGTGACGCGAAGGTCGGGTCGGTCAGTCGACCGTTCGGTCCGGATGAACTCCGTCGAGGTCAAAAGACACCATGTGAGGTATGGGCGGTCTATCCAATTCCTCACATGTCACAAGCCCCAGAGCCCCAGAAAAAAGAACACCATGTCTTTATTTACACCCCCTAATTACACGACACATCACGGTGTTCATCGAAGTCTCATTCTGACATCCTCTAAGTGCCGGGGCCGGCGCAGTGGCCGCCCACCTCAGCAAACGGTCGCCACCTGTTCGACCGATGCCCACCGGTCGACGATTCACGTCCCTCCAACGGAGTCAACAGCGACATGTTCTCGAATCTCTTGGCCAAACTCTTGGCCTTGGCATTCACAAAAACGCCATGTCAGTTCTGGGAGAGTTGAAAACATGATTGACAGAAAAGCCGCTAAGTTGGAGGCCATCGCCATTGGAGGCCGTTGGCCATCCGAAAAGCAGTCCTACCACTGCGCTTCCTGGCACCGAACCCCACCCTTTCAGGTCTCCTTTCTCGCCTCCTTCTGTCTTTGGCTCTTCAGCCCCATCGTCGGCTGGGAACTAGGCTCGTACAATTCGCTTGGAAAGGTACGAACTTACCTCCAGTATCCTCCAGTCTCCTTTATTCGTGAAAAGAAACACCATTTACTTTAGCACAACAGAGTTTATGTACTTGAGCTTTTGTTTACTATCTACTGTCTACTGATATCTTCACTTCTGTACTGAGTTTCAGGGAAAACAGAAAGTATGAGAAAGTGCACTATGTCTATCAGCATCGATACTGGTAACGAAGGCCCATAAGTTGCCAGTGCTCAAGGCCTCAAGCTGAACATGATGTCTTTGTCTTCGGTGGAGTGCTCAAGCCGAGCACTATGGGGATCGCAACAGTGAGTATACTAGTTCAGGGCTATCTGCATACGAGTATCAGTATCGCCACCAAAGTCAGTGAGTGAGTATACAGTTGAGTTGCCAGTGTCTGGAGTAAGAACCACCAAACCTTAAGGTTCTTAGGGCTTACCTAGCAATGGTTGGACAACTTGCGGCACGGGCTGGTTCCATGTCCTCCAATCAGTCTGTGTACTGTTTGGACTCGAGCCAACACTCCGTTTGTAGCTGCAACGCTTTTGTTTTTTGACCCAGGAATCGGAATCCACCCTGCCCACGGGCCTCCCCCCACAGCACAACTCAGAACAGCTTCCACGATGACAAGCAACCCCCACATTGTGGTTGCCAAATCTATTGCTTCACAACAAGCACGGCCCTTCGTATTGGACCAACATATTGATATATTGGGTACATGATGGACAACTCTGACTCACTCAATGGCAGTGGAATACCATCAGCCATCACCAGCCACTATTCCTAGAGGAAAGTGCTCTTCCAAGTTCAAGGGACCATGTTCCATTTCCGTGTGAGTGGGTACTCGAGTGTTTCTTCAGGCAAACAGCTCAATCATCGTTCAACACGGCGTCCATTTTCGCTCGCACACGGAAAGGTGGAGAAAAACAGGGCTGGCCGTACTTTCGCGTAGATAAACGCATGGGGACAGGCTGTTTCATCCGAACCTCAGTTGAACATCGAACTTGCAAGGGCAATTGGAAATGAGATGGTTCATTTTTGATCAGGCTTGGAGTGTACCAATACCAATCAATGACCAAAATATCAAGGAGTATCAAGGAGTGTCCTTCCCATGTTTTGCTATGAGAAGCATGGCTGATGTGCTGTCCCTCCTGGGTAGTACACAGCACAACATTCAGCAAACTTTCCCCACGCAAACTGAGAGAAAGCCTTGGCCTTGGACTCTTATCGCATCTCTTTTGGGGGGGAGATATGGCCCCACAAAGGAAACCACTACCCAACGAAAGAGCAGTCCTGTGAGGGCTCGGTCTGTCGACCCCACGAAGGCACAGCCACCCTTTTGGGCGCTTGAGGGTATCAGGGATTGTTTCATAATGTTTCATATGATGTGCTGCTTCGTTCGTCGAGGTGCAGCACCAATGATACATTCCTAAGCAACCTAACATCTACTAATCCGCTGTCAGCCGGAGCAACTAGCATCTAGCTACGGTGCTGCTCATCCGTTGACCCAATACTCTTGTATGAGAGACATCTACTGAATCCGCCAGCTCTGCCACTTCACCAAGAAACCGACCGTTACGGAACATCCATCAGAACATCCATCACGGTCCCCATCCCTCCGGTCATGCTGCATTGGGAATGACTCATTCCCGTCTAAGGCGACGCATGAATCTCAACGCACACACCCAGGTCCAAGCAGGAAAGAAACAACGATTCATCCCGAAGTCTAAAACCTAGCAAGCAGCCACAGTATACCCCACCAAGTACTTTTTGAACGCTCAAAGCCATTATAAGCAATTCATCAATAGGGACGTTCATCCCACCAAATCACACAGCCAAGCCTGCCAGCCCAGTCAGCCAAACCTCAAGTGATCCAAAACTCCTCTGAACACTCGCCCAGGTGCCATCCGCTCTTCTTCTTCTTCTGCGTCGCTGCCTTTCTCGCCTTGTCTCGTGCCACTTGCTGTCCCAACGTCGGACCTGGCGGACCGAAGGGCCGAAGGGCGAGGCCCGGAACGCTGGGCAGGAACGTGGCGATGGGTTGACTAGGATTGGTTTTCAGGAACCAACATGAACCTGCCAAGCACTGAACCATATGGTGATGAGGTCCCAGGTTACTGAATGAACTGTAAGGAACATGGCGAACATGAGCGTCTTGACATGGATCTGGTCAATTGTGTCATTTGGTCTATGTCTATAAGAATCAAGAGGAATTCCGGCTGGGTGTTTGCAAGGAATGGGTATTGAAGAACAGGGTGCCCATCCTTCGCTTCACGTGTTCAGGACCTATAAACTATTCCTTTGAGGCCCATCCACCTTGAAAAACGTCTTGGACATTGTGAAATGTATACCAAACCATACCCGCCCTGCCCTCCCTCGCAGACTTCTTCCACCGGGCCACCCTTGCCCCCGGCTCCACGTCGACGCTCGCTTTGGCTCCCGCACCGCTGGGCCGGTACGTCCGCTTGAGCCGGAGGTCACCCTCATAGGTGCATCTCACCCCTTCAGTCACCTCTGGCGAGCGGAGGTCCCGGTGTTCACCGGTCACCAGGAGTGGCCCTCCAGTCCGTCAGGACTCATGGTATGCTGGCGAGGACCAGCCTATAGAGCAAGTTCCATGGTGCAGTATCTGGTATGGACCAGCCCGAAACAGCTCCATTTCCGAGTTCTTCTATTTCAACAGCTGGCAGCTGGGCACCTGCTGGCGCCCGTGGCCAATCGAGAACTCCGAAACAGCACGAAGAAGCTGCATGAAATGGAAGACAGCTGCAACCAGTCCAAGCCAAGCCCCTCCATAAACGATCTCCACCAGGTCTTGACACTTTTTGACCCATGTGCCCGCCACTCTTGAAAACCCACCAGTCTGGATGGGATCACGGATCATTGATGCATCATCAGTCTTGGGAACCCAAAAAACTCGATGCTCCGTGCCCCGCGCCACCGACACGGACCGGAGGAGGGCGGATTTTGTTGCTGGCCTCACCACAGAAAGAGGAACTTGGAGCCCCAAAACAGCCGCTTTTGAGGCGAAAAACCACCAGACACGAGTTCGGTGGCAGGCAATCACAAGTAACCAGGCAATCTCAAGCTACCTTTCGTGACTAGTTCGGCATGTGCTTCTTTTTCAATGCCCAGGCGCCCCTCCCGTGCGATAGACCTTGTCGGGATATCCGCTCATCCCCGCCGGCTTGACGCGACACTCCTCACGGCCGGGTGCCGTAAGCGTTGTCTGTCACTTTGACTTAGGATAACATGGATAACCCTATAGGCTAAGCCTACATATGAACCAGTGAGAATCTCCGACCTTCAGCATATGGAAGAAACATAATATATATATATAATATATATATTAATTTAATTGAGTTAGTTAATATTCCCGGTAAAAACATCTTGAGAGCACACTTCATGAAAAGAAATCCTGCAGCGACCGACCGCTTCGACCGCATCGGGTCCCCGTGCCGTCACGACGGTGACAGGTCGAACGCGGAGTCGGTGCGGTTGTTCTTTTTCCGCGGCGACAGCGACAAAGAAGACGTGGTCATGCAACGAAGATGCAAGCATCTTACTTCCCTTCTCAATCAATCTGTTGAAATATATATTTGAGCTATGGCAAATTGCCTCCTGCTTTGGAACTACTTAAAGATCTGTGCACTGAATTCATGTATGCCATGGGTAACCATCTAGAAATCCTACAAGTCAACATCAACAAATTAATCTGCTTATAGTCACCTGAGATCACCATGCAACATCACACCTCACTCACAACTTCACAACTAAACATGTTATGTTGATCTGTCTCCGAATGTCTTGTGTCGTCTTTCAGCCCTCACAACTCTCAACACACATGCTTGAAATACATGCCACCACCACACACAGTAACTCGCGCACATATACAGCAAAACAACACTTATATAAACCAACCAAAACTCGCCACACGCACGCATCATGCGCAGATTGCACCAGCGCTGTTGGCCCTCCGATCCTTCCTACCGCTCCGGGTCGGCGGCAGTTCGCTCCTCCGCACAAAGGTAGTCCCCATCGTTGACGCGGTACTGCAAGTACTCTGTCATAGCAGGTGTCACCACTTCTTCTGGGCAGGGGCAGGTCAAACCGACATCGGCACGTTTCTGGCACGGAGGGGCACGGAAGGATCTTCTTCTGCAAGCGATTTGCTTCAATCGACAACACATGGGCCGGCTTCGACAGTATTTCAGTCATGCAGGACATATTTGCTGTCCAGTCACTCTTGGGATTCACCCAGTTCGGAAACACCAAAAACCAGTTTACTACAACTATATTGACCCCTAAAACATCTTAAATCCGCCCAATGCTAGTAAAATCTAGTACATATTCGGACGTCCCATGGATTGCCTGGGATTTTTCTTGCTGCCCAAGACACGTTTTTCGTTCAGCACTTTGCCCGGGATCGGCTTGCACTCTCCAATGGCAATCTTCTGGTTGAAGCGGTTCTTGTATTCCTTTCCTGGGCTTGTGGGAAAGCCAAGGAACAAACAAACGCACAAGGAGTGGTGATGTTCACCACTCAGCATCTGTCTGCTTTTTCATGATGCGTAAGCTGCCAAAAACATGCGAAGCACCACAACAAGTGCTTACACAAGCCTCATTGCACTTGCATTTGCTACACCAGATTCCATTTGGTCATTAGGACAACAACTTGACGACTCGGAGAAGAATGCGTGATTACTGCACCCATCCACACTCACTTCAACATGTACACGGTATTTGAGGACTCACAATGTACATCTAACTATGAACATCTATATATATATATAACTGCGTGTGAATAGCTGGAGCCCTTAAGAGCCGGTTGCCCCGGTGCGT